AATGTGAACCTCACCAAAAACAAACTCATTCTCATTTGAAGTTTACCTCGAGCACAGGCAGGAAACATTTTCATTAATCCCTCTACATATTTCTCTTAGTTCTGTTCGCATTTGGATCGCGGGCAATAACAACTGTTAGCATTAAAATTTGCATAGAGAGGCGCATTCTTACTGACATTTCTCGCCGGACATTGTTATTTGCCCAAATGTTCTAAGGCTTCACATGAATTTATGTAAATATATTTATTGAATATATGTACATATACATACATACACATGTTTGTACATATAAATCATTTTATTTATTTACTTGTTTCTATACAAACTCATGTCTTCCTAAAGTGGCTTTTTGTCGACGTTGTCACATTTAAGCTTCCATCTGATAAGCCAACACCGCCACACAAGCATTCTTATTTATTAAAATTTTTTTTTTTAATATTCTTTTTTTCAACACATTATCTTGACTTAAGTTTGAGTAGAGTAAGAAGAATAAGATGGAAAAAATTAAATATTATCTACCATCAAGCTAAAGCATAAGGCGAGCGCAAACGTTTATTTTCTTAGCGAGTTTAAGAAAGTATACAGATCCCCAACAAATATGTGTGCATGGTCGTACATACATATGTACATGCATTTGTGTTTTTGTTTTTATTTAAGCCAGCAAAAGTACATAAAAAAAAACGTCGTCATCATCAATGGTATTTTTTGTTTTCTTTATTAATTTTTTTTCGCCATTCAAAGGGGTTTTATTTAATTTTTTCAACATTTTTCTTATTTTATTTTTTATTTATTTTTTTTTTACTATTTCTCTGCCCTAAAGGTATTTAGTTTTATGTGGTATGCGCATACTCGTCTATACACATATTTAAACGATTTTTTTTCGTCCATCATCAACACACTTTTTTCGTCTTTTTCTTCTACCGATCGCTTTTTGTCTTAGCCGCTTTGTTGCAACCTTCAGTTGCGGCACTTACGGCACTTACCCACCGATTTGATGTACATACATACATATGTATGTGTAAAGAAAAAAAAAAAAAACAAAAAACAGGAAAAATGTGAAAACACACGCACAAAAATTCCAATATCCACTAGCCGCTGGCGTTTGTGTTCGAAAAAAAAGAAAAGCAAAAAAAAAAAAATCAAAATAAATAAAATAAAGGTCCAATAGCTCTGTGATAGCTAGCTTAGGTTGCGGCAGTGTTGGCGGCCATTAGCCAACAACCAGCAGCCAACGGCCATCATTTGGACAGCCGCTGATATGCGCACTCTTCTATACATACTAAGCTGCTTGAGTGGAAAGAAGGAGGAGGTTAATAATTCACCTAGAATTATTAGTAAATGTGGCTAAAATTATTTTATTAATGAAAATAAAAAATAAAAAAAATAATTCAGTTAAAGAATGTCTTCGAGCGTCAGTCCAACCGCCATACATCTACATTTGTGCTAGCTATTATCTCTTTGGCAACACTGGTTTAAACAGCTGACGCACGTTTCATGTTTTGTATATTCAGTTTGGTCTATAATTTAACCATGAATCGTTCTACAAACGAACAGCGCTTGCAAATTATTGAATTTTATTATGAAAATGCTCTGTTCAGCGACGAAGCTCACTTTTGGCTTAATGTGTACAAAAATAAGCAGCACTGTCAATTTTAGAGTGAAGATCAGCCAGAAGCTTTGCAAGAGCTGCCAATGCGTTCAGAAAAAAGTCACAGTTTTGGTGCGGTTTATGGGCTGGCGGCATCACTGGACCGTACTTCATTCAAGATGATGCGAATCGTACCCTAACTGTAAATGGTGAGCGCTACTATGGGATGATATCAAACTACTTTTTGCCCAAAATGCTTGAACTTGACATGCCTGACATGTGGTTTCAACAAGACGGTGCCACATGCCACACAGCACGCCTAACAATGGACTTATTGAGAGGAGAATTCGGTGAACATTTTATTTCACGTTCGGTACCGGTCGATTGGCCGCCTAGATCGTGTGATTTACCGCTTTTAGACTATTTTTTTGTGGGGCTATGTTAAATTTAATGTCTCTACGGACTAACCCGCTTCAATTGACGCATTGGAGGGCAACATTGAAGTATTTGTTAGTGAGTTACCGGCTGAAATGTTGGGAAGAGTATGCCAAAATTGGACTAAGCGGATGGATCGCTTGAGGCGCAGTCACGTTCAACCTTTGCATGAAATAATCTTCAAACATTAAATTATATGGACCGTACTGTCGATTCAAATAAAAATTTCATGCATTTCTTTGAAATCCACTTTTTTTTCTCGAAAATCTTTCCCAAAACTCTTAAAAAATCAGTCTTTATGTTCACTATTACACACTGGCAAATGTCTATTTTTTGGTGATTTTGAAAGTTTTTGGGATTTTTTTCTAAAAGTATTAAATGTCATAAGTAGAGACCTCGCATAAATATTGCTTTTGTTACAGCTCGTTTCTTGAACTCAGAGGTTTCGTATTGACAATTGCACGATAAATTCTGGTATAAAACATAACTGAAGCTTATAAAGGCTCAACAGCGAATCATTTAGTGCATGACGTTTCATCACAAATCTGTCATTTTTTCATATTCTATTTCGCGAAGTTATTAGCTGTCAGCTGATTTTCGAAATTTCTCAACAGCAGGCTTTGTCGGGTATGGTTTTTTCTACTAGCTTATGTTCTTATAGAAAATTAATTTGAATAAAAATTTAAGTTAAATTTTCTAAATGCGGTCGCCCCTCGGCAGGGAATGTCAACCCCTGCGAGTGTATTTCTGACACGAAATAAAGCTCCTCATAAAAAAATCAACAGTCGTTTGGATGCGGCTTAGTATAAACTACCCTAGGTTCCGCCATTTGTTGGGAAAACATCAAGACGCAAAACCACAAATTAGAGGAGGAGCTCGGCGGAAAATCGCTTCAGCGGTGCAAAGCGCCAATTATTATTATTATTACTGTGTTCTCCTCCTATCGCTGATTTCATAAGCTTCAAGTGGAAGGTTTACCCATCACACATCTGATTTTTAATGCCAATTTCTTTCAAGAAAATTTTTAGTTCCCTTTTTCTCCACCAGAGGGTTCTCAGAGTTGTTTACTTTGAAGTTTTTTTTTTTGCATACACGCCACAATTTTTGCGTGAGAGCTTCAAACTCTCCATTCCGCATTTACGCAGTGTGTTCATGTTTCATCTCGCTGTCTGACGGTTTATCTTTTTGTCGTTCTTTTTGTGTATTTGGTCGGCTTAGTGACTGACGTCCAGCTAAGCTGTTTATTTATTTATTCGCTTGAATTTGATTTTATTTGTTTGTTGCGAACAGAGTTGGCGTAGTGAGAAATTGTGGAGTATTGGACTGCTAATGCAATCCAGAGACAAAACCAGCGAGAAAAATCAGATTAAGAGAATAGCTATTAGAACATTCTGGTTGACAGTTGCGCTGTAAAACTGAATAAGAGTAAGAAAATGCGCCCAATCACAGAGCGTGATCGTCAAACTAACGAATTGAATTTGCTAAAAAATTATTGAAACGTTTGAAACTCCCTTTTCGTCGTGGCAATGGATCCTAGCTCTTAAAAGCTGCTCGGGCAAAGTGATTTTTTAATCTACGTTAACCAAATAATAATAAGCGCGCTGTGAATTAGCGTCCTTCAAAGCTAACTCTAAATACAGGGTACGCCGATTGGACATCTTCTGAGAGTTAGATCAATATCTACTGAAAGCAGCGGGTAAAAAAATATATGGATTGCAATAATTTCCAACAGTAGCCACTTCTAAATATGTAAAAGCGAGGAAATAAAGGCTTGCATATCTGAACCTCACTGATTGACGTCAGGGACTAGGGAGACGCAGATTTGGAAGCCAAACTTACCAGGCTTCAGAGAGAACTATACTTTGCAAATCCCATCCAGCACACAACATATCGACCGGCCTTAAAAACCGGTCTTTCCACAACAGAGTTCGAGTTAACTTTGAGATCTATTTAATATTGGCACAGCTTTAGTCTCCATACCGTAGTAAGGCAGTAAGTTAAGCTACAGGCTGCTCAACCAAAACTGCTTTTTCTTCCCCCCAGACTTTTGATGTTTTCCCCATCGGGCAATCGGCCACATGTTTCAAATCCATTTTGACTTCTATGATCTCGAAAAAGCATTAATTTTAGTCATCTGTCCCACTTTTGATTTTTGGAGAGGCCTCCATTTGGTTGAGTTTCTTTCCTGTCACAGTTTTACGATATCGTCAGTATTTCCGACCATTTGTACCCCTTTTTGGTGGTGGAAGTTGCAGTACTACGTCGTAAGGTATATACCACAGCAGTATATTCACCGCGCAGAGCCTAGTAATACACCACAACAACCTATTCGATAGATATTCTTAGAAAACTTTTAACGAAGACTGAACGGAGATCTGTTATTTTTAGCGCGCTCATTATTAGTGACCAATTTCCAGAGTTAAAAACATTTCTATCATCGAACGTTCCTACTTTTGTGCGTGAATTCTTTTGTGTCTTACATCAGTCTAGTCTATTCTACAGCCTTGTTTTCAATTTAGCTAACTTTGTTGAAAACATCACTGGTTGAGCTGTGTTTATGAGTCAGCGAGTCCTGGCAGTTATTGGTGTCGAACTTGTTGCTGTAGCGGTAGACAGATTATTCGTTCCAGTCTCCTGTCAGACGTGTCTAGAATGCAGAGAAGGCAGTACGCGCTCAACATGAAATAGACGGCAGTTTTTGCGTGCCCTGTAGGATATCTGTGGAAGTTTTGATCTAAAGGATCATGACAGGAGGTTTTTTTGTTTTTTGTTTTTTTAAATATTCGGTTCTCTTAGTGCCTTTGGAAATATAAACCAGGGAAAAAAATCAAACTTCAAAAATCAATCGAATTTAATAAATTTTCAAAACTTAAGTAATTTTAATATTTTTTTTTTACTGTCGTCGCCTCGGAATCCCATTTTCTGTCACGTATTCATATTCTCAATTGCACGCAACTATGAATGTCAGTATGTGAAACTCTGTTGGTGGCAATATGGCAATACCAACAGCACTTACTGGCTGGCGAGAGTATTGAATTGGAAAATAATTAGCTGCCTTAACGGTCGCGAACGGTGTCGATAGTCAATGGCAGTAAATTTGAATACAAAAAATCCTTACGTGGCTTCTTTTTTACAGGCCAGCAAGACAATACGTAGCTGATTATCAAACCAAAACAGCAACCCCCGCCCAACTGCTGCCGCTCCAGCTGTTGTGTAGCAACAATCTGTGTCTGATTAACGGTTGTGCTGAAAGTGTGTTGTGGGGAATGTGATTGAGGCCAGCGATGCTGATGGGGGAGATAGATAGATGGATTGGATGATAAATAAAAGTGGGGCTTAAAAGAAACGAAGTGAATGTGCGCGCATGTGATTTCTGTTTACAGTTCAGTCTTCAGTCAAAAGAAAAACAAGAAAAAAATGTTAAATAAAAATAAATAAAAAACCGAATTGAAATTTATCAGCAACTCATAATCAAAAATAAAATTTAAATTTTGCCAAGTCAGCTAAATATAAAACCCAAAAGCTCTGCGCTGTCAACGACGGCTCTATTGCTGGTATTTCCACTGCATGTTGCCGCGCGCTCAACGCGTAAGCGCAGTTAGTCGTCTGTGCTGCAATTAAGTAGTTCAAACAAGCATCTGACTCTTGCGTTAGCAACGTTGTCAAACTTCAGTTGACTACTGCACGGAGTCTAGGTGTTTAGTGTGTTTATCGCAGTCATAAACTCGCGCTTATCGCTGCTGTGGAAAAAGCGTATATTTTACTAAAATTGTTTCCATTTTTTTGTTTTCTTGGGTGGCAAATAAAAACAGCAATCAACTGTTTATTGTACCATTATTTAGATAAAATGTTAGTAAGCCATCTATTTCACCAGCGCGCGGTCAATATGAGCGCTTGACTGTACGTTGGAGTGTTGCGGAAAGCCCCCAGAATAAACACGACGCTTATCAGCTGCTGTGAACGCCTACTGCTACTTGCAGTACTGCATCATTAAATGCAAAATTATTTTCTTTAAATTATTTCCAAAAGCAATATATTTATTCACACATTTTTCTTCTCTTTACAGTGAACACTTCGACATGTCAATAATTCGCCACTGAGTACGCGCATAGGTTAACAAACACGCACGCGCGCTCTCAAACGGATTGCTTACTCTACCGAAAATGCCTACCGAGAATGCAATGGATGAACGCGCTGGTGGTGGCGGCCCTATATCTATGGTACGTCCCACGCGGCTTGAACAATTTTTGCAAGCGCCCGGCACTGGTGGCGCGCCCGAGCAACGCAGCGCGTCTAGCGGTCGTGTGCCAGGTGGCGCTGCTGCCGCCGCTGCTGCTGCTGCCGCATATGAAACACAACTCGCATATCAACATCACTTAGTTGCTGCTGGTCTAATGGGTCCTGGCGCTGGTGGCGCTGCCAATGCACAGACTGCGCACTCCGCCTTCGTGCCTGTGCTGCCCTCGCGCAGTGCAATGCGTGCGCCAGGTGCGGCAGCAGCATTGTATGGCGGCATGCTGGACGCTGAGGTGGCCAAGGAGGCGAGTAAACGTCATGGTAATAATACGAATTTCGAGATCATCTCTATGATGGCGGATAAACGTAAGGAGTTGGCTTTGCGCGAGGCCGCGGCAGCGGCGATGCTGATGCAACGACCACCGGGACAAGGGCCGCCAGGCGTGCCGACAGCGGTTATGTATCCACCACCGCCGCCATATCTGGGCGGTCCGGGTCCATCACCCACAGGCGCTGGCACATTCGCCTTTCCCTCGGCCGCAGCGACAGCAGCGCTCTTTCCCGCTGGTTTGCCGCCAACTATGCACGCCGGCTTGGATCGTCGCTTGTTGCGCGCGCCGGGACGAGCCTCACGTCCGAAGAAACAATTCATTTGTAAATTCTGTAATCGTCAATTTACAAAGTCCTACAATTTGCTGATACACGAGCGCACACACACCGATGAGCGACCGTACTCGTGCGACATTTGCGGCAAGGCATTTCGCCGGCAGGATCATTTGCGCGATCACAGGTGAGTTTGCAGTTATTTGTCATTGCTTTTTGCTCAATTTACACACTATTCTGGTTTCCATGCTGTCGCATATCAATCATAAACTGTCAACTGCTTAGCAAAAAAAAAAATAAAAAATAAAAAAATTGAACAAAAAAAGTTGCGCGCTCGGTACGTGTTTGTCGTGAAAATGAACGCGTCTACAAAGACGCAATCAAATTACGCTTTTTATACAAAGAACGCGACATAAAACGAAAAATGAAAATGTCTAAAAGCTCATTAAGTGCAATGCATCTTGAAGGCGTGCAACGACCAGAGCAGACCGCAAAACCCTGCGCAACCGCAAAACAGCCTTTGCGTGCACACACAACGCAACGCAAATGAATCAAAAAAAAAAAAAAAACATAGAAAAAAGATTGAAAAATCACCAGCCCAACAGCGGCATTTATTATCTTACGCTCAGACCGCAACCAGCAATCAGCGAGCCGAATGCTATGCTGGCGTATGGTTGAGAATTTTTTTAAGCCGCGCGCGAAACCTGTTTTCGACTCAGCTCATATGCTGTTTAATATTTTTTTCTACAATTTTTTTCTACAAAACCTTCAATATTCAGGTTGTTGTTGCTGTTGTCTTTTTTTTGTGTTTTGTTTGCCTTGCCATTAGACTCTGTCGTCGCACGTTTGAGACGTTTTCTCTCCGCGTGCTTCTTCTTGGTCTATTTGGCAAGCAATCACGGCGACAGGTCAGCCATTTTAAGGTGGCTGATGTGTGGTGGTCATCCACGGCACTGTCGTAATATTGATTTAAGCCATCCCATGGTGGTGGCTGCTGCAAGCCGACACTCTTCATATGAATCTATTATGGCGTGATGAAAAAAAGGGAAAAAATTACTGGTTTTTGTGCTGCCGTCGCACGTCATTTGCTCGAATGGCATTAATCATTTATTTTTTCAGAGACGCCTTTTTTTATTTTGCTCTGATTATATTTTTCTGAGAAACGCTTAATATGTAATTATCAATATTCACTTTTTTTTAATTCTAAACTTGAAGCAACGTGCAATATTTAGAAAAATTCTTCCGAGGTACTAAAACCCTCTCAGTAAAGGGTATTTCTTAGACATGTGGTTTTCATACAATTTAATATCAAGAATTCAGCTTTTTCATAAAATTAAAGATTTGATTTTATTTTTTAAAAAGGATTCAGCGCAATTGAGCGCCGCGGCTGGCTCGAAAAATTAACCCAATTCGGCCACTTTTCGCACCAATTACGGCCGCATGCCAGCAATAACGCATCGAATATTCTCTTCCAAGTCGGCAATCGTCTCGCGCTTATCTGCGTAGAAAAGCGATTGCACATAACCAAAAAAAAAAAAGCTCTGCAGTGTTAACTGGCACATGATCTTGGAGGCCACTTCACAGCTCCACGATGCGTGGTAACGCGCTGACCAAAAGTTTCCCACATGAGTTGGCTTTATGACATGTAGCGCAATCCTGTTGGAACCGAAAGTTGTCCACATCATCCTCCTCCTCCATTCAGGTACGAAAAAGTCATTGATCATGACTCTACTATGTTCCCCATTGACTGCAACATTATGGACCAATAACACCCGCTTTCCATAGCGCACACCAAACAGTGACGTTTTGATGATGTAACGGCGTCTCAAGAATGGTTTGTGGATTATCTTCCCTACAAAAGCGAAACAAAATTGAGTTTATTAACGAATGCTTTCCAATAACCTTTGAAAATCGGGATCGGCGGTCATCTCGTTTTGGGCCTAATCATCGAGTATGCGACGCCCTTGATGGTAGTTTGACTTCAGGTCCGCAACCGAAAATCTTTCCGCAAAATCTGCCATTAAATAAAAAGTTTTTTAGCATTCGAAATTTCGATGTATCGAAAGTTTCATGTATAACTTTCAGCTGAAACTTTCCAAAACCCAATCAAACTACCCCGAAGTGCGAACCCGTGCAATCCCAAAAAATCCAGTCGATGGCCGAGTTGGGAATTTCTCATGATATTCATATTACAATATAAAAACAACTGAACACAACAATCAGTGGATAGGGATTTTGGGAACAAAAGTTTCTTCAGAGAGAGGTCATTACACCCAAAATACTTACTGTCTGAAGCGAAAACTATAACAGCGAGACTATGACTGTCAGTTCGGAGAATTATGGTCGTATGATAACCGATTATTCTTGGCCTGCAAAGGAAAACGACTTGGCAATATATATTTTAAAGAATATATATATTTTAAAATAACTTCATGAAAAAGATTATTTAATAATATTTTATTTACATTTGCTTTCGAACCGCAAAGTGGCTAACCAGGCATTTTTGCAGGCTTGGAATTCGACTTTCAAAAACTAACTGGTATTTAACTAGTATGAAACTGATGCATAGTGCGACAATTTTCATTCCGTGTGGCGCTTTGCAAACGCTCAAGCAATTTGCGCCGAAGAACGCCATATCAGAAGCACTAACATATGGCCCAATGGGTCAGCCAGATTAACCAACGGAGGTTTTGGATTCTTGTTATTAATAGTACCGGCATTTTTTTAAGGTGATTCTAACTGGCTTGATCAGCATTGAGTCATTTATTTCTGATAGGAGGTTGGTTAGAGGGGAAATTCGATTCGATTGATAAAATGTTAAATTTTCTTTCACTCATTACGGTAGGACAGACAAGATCAGACCTTCTCAATGGCTGGGACCCAGGGTTAACTTTACATAATCCATGGCAGTTTCTGTCTTCTGTTTCTGACCGATAGGCGCAAAGCATTATCCTAATTAATTTCTCAAGGGCTAGGGTTAGGGCTCTATTGACAAACTACCAGAGCCACTGTAAGCTAAATTTTTTTATTACTGAACGGAGCTTTTTTTGTCCAGTGGTCCATAAATATGCCTTTGAGCATATTATAAAAGCAAAACTGATTCTCAGTTGAAGCTTGGGTCTAGGCCTCATGGTTCACTAACTTGCACATTCGTAGACCCGTTCATAATAATTACAAAACCTTCTTTAGTTTGCGCCGCCGACAAAGCTTACGTACGCTTATTTAATGTAGAGCGTAAACGAAGCGCAAAAAGCAAAGTTCTTTTTATTTCTTTTTACATATTTTTCTATAATTTCGTCGTTTTTCTTTTTTTCTATTTATCTATATTAATCTTCTTACCTCGAGGCAAACTCATAAACATCTTTATTTTCTCTTTCGCCACCACAGGTATATTCACTCCAAGGAGAAGCCATTTAAATGCACCGAATGCGGCAAAGGCTTCTGCCAATCACGTACCCTCGCCGTCCACAAGATCCTCCATATGGAGGAGTCGCCACACAAGTGTCCCGTCTGTAGTCGCAGCTTCAATCAGCGCTCTAATTTGAAAACGCACCTGCTCACACACACCGATCACAAGCCGTACGAGTGTTCTTCCTGTGGCAAAGTCTTCCGACGCAATTGCGATCTGCGACGTCATGCGCTCACGCACGCAGTCGGCGATGTGCCCTCCGAGTATGTCGATGTGGGCGAAGAGGATGAGGGTCGACATTTGAGTGGTGATGAAGAGGATACACTGTTGGAAGTGGACTCGCCGCGTCAATCGCCCGTCCATCGCTTGCATGCTGGTACACCAACGCAAGAACTTGGCAGCGGTGCAGATACAGATGTAGAGAATACAAGTAGCGATGCACGTGCAGCTGCACGTATGCGGCTAAAACGCAAAGCGTGCTATGATGCAGCAGAAATCTCGGATGAATCAGAGGAGGAGTTTGAGGAAGATGATGATTTGGAGGAGGCCGATCTTGAAGAAACGGAACTGGCTGAGGATGAAGATGAAGTGGAAACTGTGAAGAGTATGCCGCGTGAAGGACTACTGGAACCGCGTCCCACCGGTCAAGGTGTGACGCACTGCCATCACGAAGGCGGCGAAACGTACACCATGCGTCCTTCACATGAAATACGTGGTGATGTTCATGAACCGATCAATAATAGCAGCTCACCGCATACTTTTGGTGGACCACCAGCCGCCGGCTCGGCTTTTATGCCTTCCTCGCCAAGCGCACGCTACAATCCAATGCGCGCACTACCCGGCGCCGGCGAGTCCATACACTCGCCCTCCACATCTAATGGTCCAGAGCCGTACATACCAATGTTACATGTTCGACGAGATCTTCATCCGAAAGGGCTACTCCTAACATCGGCCGACATACCGCCGGGCGTCATGATTGCTGCGCCACCACCCGTGGGTGCACCAACACAACCAGCCCCACCGCCGACTGCGCCTACAATCACGCTGCCGTCGGCCGTGCTGGCGAACTCTGGCGCTCAGGCAAGTGGCGCGTCACCCTCAGCATCACAACCACCACCACCACCTTTACCACCGCTCATTGAACCACCCGGCAAGTGCCTACAACCGCCCTTACACTCGCCACTCGAATCGATGCCCAGCTTTCTCGGTTCCATACCCATACGCAAACGTATTGTGGGTCTCGAGCAAATGGCGGACGCGCAACGCGCTTATAATGCCGCAGCTCAGCAAGCTACTAACTCCGGTCTCATGGCGCTGAACATGACGCGCTCGCACGGCGTAATGAAAATTCATCCGCCACCATTACTCACCGGCAAGCCGTATTTGACAGCAGTAAATCAAACGTCGCTCTTGTGTGAGCCCAAGTCTTTGATTAGTGTGCCATCTGGCAGTGTACCACCACCTGGTAGCAGCTCGCATGCAGACACCTCAACGCTTATGAGCAGAGACTCGGTAGTAGTGACCGGTATAACGGTTGGGTCAGCTGCGCAACTATCGAATGGAAGCAATGAGCGACATTTCTTGCTGCGCCCAGCCACCAACCCAATCAATATGAATACTCAGGAGCCGTTAACTGGTGGTGGTGATCGCACGCGTTCAGCAATTTCACCAGCGTCAACAACGATGACTTTGCAGCAACAGCAACAGCAACAGCACCAACAACATCAGCAGCAACAGCCACCGCATCCATCAGCAGCTCCTACACGCCGCACAGGCTTTAGCATAGAGGATATAATGCGCCGCTGAGTAGGGGTATGTGTGTAGGGGTATGTGTGTATGTGTGTATACGGCAGCCTTCATTGTCACAAGTTTCCTAAATTTAATATATATTTTTAAGCGTTTAATTAACCATTTTCCATTCTAATTTATGGTAATTTTTAATTTACAAAATATTTTCTTTTTAGAAATTAATTTCAAAATCCTTAAGTGCCTACTCATGTACTACTTATATGTCTGTATGCAAAGTATATGTATTCAAGTGCTTTAAAGCCATTCTATGGAAATTCACTTAAGTTATTATCAATATGTATCTATTGTATGATTAAGATCCTTCGCTGTGCTAGATGCGCATAACGGTATTTTAATATGCTAATAATGAAGCTTTTTATTTCAAACTTTAAATATAATTCTATTTGCACTTAAGTTATATATGTAATTTCAAAGGTATGATTGTATGTAGACCTAAGTTGGTATGTAAGAAAATGTGCAGATTTACATAAATATATAAATATATATACGTTTTAGCAATATAAGATTTTTTTTAGTTCATTTTCTAATTCTACTTGCCGAGCACATAGTGTCCACAAAGAGTCGAATAAGCACTTATATGCAAGTGTGTATAGATAATTGTGTAATGATAAAAAAATGAGAAAAAAGTTAAAATTTTTAATATATATTTAACAAATACAACAACCATAAAAAAATGTCAGTGGCCCTCATGAAAATAAAATCAAAACAGAAATTAAAAAAAAAATTCAATAAAATAAAATTAAAATTTGAATTCAATAGATATTAGATAAAAAAGAAAAATTAACTTATATTGAATGAAAATAAAAAAATTAAATAAACCAAAATACAAAAATAAAATAAATTAAATTTCTTTGTTGTTTAAAAAATAAATGAAACTGAATTTAAAAACGAAAATTAATTAATTAAATTAAATTAACGTGGATTGAAAAATTAATATACGAACATTTAAGAATTATTAAAAATGGTTAAATAAAATAAAATTCATAACTTAAATTAAAATAATATATAAATTCAAATTAAAATAAAATAAATTAAATATAAATGACTTTGAATGAACTAAAAGAACTGAATTACTTATAAATAAATATAATTGCTTTAATTATTAAATAAATTTAAATTAGAGTAAAATAAAATAAAATTAAATTAAATGAAAAACAAAATAGCTAAAACTAACTAAAAATCAATTAATTCATATTTAAAAAATTATAACAAACAACACAAAAAAGGAAAATTAAATTGAAATAAAATATTAAAATGAATAAAAACCAAACAAGTATAAGGTAACTAAAAAATTATTTATAAATAAATAAACGAAATAATTTCACTTATAAAATGAATTTAAATTAAAATAAAGTAAAATCAATCATAATAAAATTAAATTAAATATAAAGCAACTAAAACTATATTAAAAAATGAAAATGAATTAATGAAATGGAATGAAATTTAAATGCAATAAAATGAAAAAAGTGACAAAATTTAACTAAAAAAATAAGACAATTTAAATACAATATATTTAAATAAAATAAATATACAAGAACAAACTTTAATTTTAATTTAAAAAACTTTATAGGTAAACAGACTCAACTAAATAAAACAAAATATTAAAAATAAATTATAGAAATATACATCAAAATAATAACACTTGAACCAATAAAAAAATAAAAAATAAATTAAATTGTAGAATTTAAATAAACCTACTTGAAACAAATAAAAATAAAATAAATTAATAAAAAAAAAATTAATTGTTATGTAATAAAATAAATTTCAAAATATTGAAAAATAACAAAAAAATTTAATACATGTTATTTAAAAAAATTTGTATATTAAATTAAAAGGAAATCAACCTAAAATAAAATAAAATAAAGTTCATTCGAAATAAAATTAAAATTAAAATTAAATTAATTAAAAGAAAATTAATAAATATAATTACTTAAATATATTAAAAAAAGTTCTGTATAAAAATATAATTAACCTCAACTTAATAAAAAAATGGATATTGTTTAAAGTAAAATAAAATAAATTATAATATATCAAATAAAAAAATTAATTTAAAAAAAATTATTCATGTATGATTTTTTTAATTAAAGTAAAGCAAATTTAAATAAAATAAAATTAACGAAAATTTAAATTTTAATTAACTTATAACAAAATTAAATGAAAAAGCGAAAGATATAATAAAATAAGAAAATTGTAATACAATAAAATTAGAAATTAAATTATTTAAAATAAAATAATATAACTTACAATATATTATAATAATAAATTAAACCATGAAATAAGAACAAAGGTGTTTTAATGATTAATTAAATTAATATAAAAATTGAAATTGAAAGTAAAATTAAAATGAAATAAAATAAAGAAAAAATAAATACAATCAAACAAAAAAAAAACTTATTATATGTAATAAATGAAGTCAAAATACAATAAAATATTAAGCGTTGGCAAGTTGAGATTAAGATTATTTTCTCCAAAATCATCAAAAATATGAGATCAGCAAAATGCACAAAATCAGAAATAGTTTAGGATTAAAAAAAAACTAAATATTTACATAAAAGTAGTAAATAAAAATCATAAAACTAATATATTTATATAAAAACTACTCATTAAGTATGCGCTAATACAATATAATATAATAAAATCAAATTGTCAATTAAGAATAATATACAATGTTTGAAAAATATTTTAAACGCCAATGTTTTAAAAAATAATGACAACCAAGATGCTGTTCCAAATTGTATACAAACACCAGTGTATGTATGTACGTGCTTAATTAATAACTTTTAAATGCATTTATAAGCATAAAAAATGTCTTTTACTTCTTAAGCTAAGCATTCCATGTGTCTTCCTCTACACTAAGTTATGTTTATTTCTTTGAATGTATTAAATAAACTACAAGAAATTGATTAGGTATATAAATAAATTGGACTTTTCCTTTTGTTGGATATAAGAAAAAGGTAAAGAATCTGTCATAAAGATAACTTAAATTAAATAAAAAAATGTAAGGTAATTTAAAGGAATAATAAAAATAATACTTAAAATCTGTGAAAAAAATTAAATAATATAAATCAGATAAATATAAAAAAAAAATAGTTCAAATTACAATATAATAAATTACAATGAAATTAAATAAACTTTAATGTAACTAAAAATAAAATAAAAAAACTAAATTGTCTTAAGTTAAATAAAAACCAAAAAAAAAAATTAAGTCAAATCAAATAAAATAAAATGAAGTAAAATAAAATGAAATAAAATAAAACTAAGCTACACAAAATAAAAATAAAGCAATTACGGAAGAGCCTTGCCGCGCAGCTATCACTTCTACCGTCCAAAACTGTGGTTGTATTTGTTTCAATATATCCAAAAAATATGGTCTGAGACAGTTCCATAAAAGCTTGAAACTAATTTGAAGTTTAAAATTAAACAAAAAATACAACAAAATTAAAAAAAAAATATTTTTAATTTTGTTGTATTTTATACTGCTTAATTTACTAAAAGAAAATAAAATTATTAAAAAATAAAATCATATAAAAAAAAATTAAAAAATTATATATAAAAAAATAAAATAAAAATTAAAGTAAAGAACAAAACAAAAAAAAAACATAAAAAGTAGGAGCAGAATGAAACGAAAATTAAACAAAATAAAATGTAAAATTTTAAATAAATTTAAAATTTAAAATTCAATTATTTGAAGTAAAGCAGAATTCAAAAACAAATAAATTAGAACAAAATAAATTAAAATAAAATTTAATAATATTAAAAAAAATGAAAATAAAATTTATTTGTATATAAAATAAAATTAAATTGAATAAGAATATAAATAAATTAACATAAATTAAAGTAAAAAATAAAAAGATAAAACAAAACAAGCGAACTCAAAAGAAACGAAAGAAAATAAAAAAATAAACTATAGAAAATAAAATAAAAAATAAAATAGTGTAAGTAATAAAAAAAAATTAAAATTAAGAAAAAAATAAATACAAGTTATAAAACAGAAGAAATAAAAATTTAGAATATAAACTAAATTAAAATTAAAATGAAACAAAGTAACATACAAAAGTTGAAATTAATGAATAAATTACATTGAATTAATTTAAGGTAATAAAAATAAAAATAATAATGAATAAATTAAATTAATTTAAGAAACTGAAAATATGAAAATAAATATATTAATTAACATTAATTTATTAAATAAAATCATATAAATTATATAAATAAATAGGGAAAATTTTAACCAAATTAATTTCAAGAAAATAAAATAATCTATGACTGGCAGCTTAAGTGAGTGCATGTTGACTATATTTTTACAAAAATTATCATAAAATGATAATAATTTAATACAAAAACATAAGGCAATTAAAATAAATCAAAAATATTAAATTTACTTAATTTAAGTAAAATAAAAGACAAAAAAATAAAACAAATTAAAAAAAAATTTAATAAAATTTAATAAATCGAAACGAAATAAAATAAAAAATATAAGAAAATAAATGAAATCAAATCAAATAAAAATTATAAAATGAAATTTAACAGGAATAAATAATATAAAATAAAATAAAGTAAGTATAAAATAAAAATCAATCAAAATAATAAATATAATAAAAAAAAAATTAAGTAAAGTAAAATAAAATAAAACAAATTAAAATAACATAAAATTATAAATAAATTTTAAATTAATGAATAAATTTAATTAAATCAGTTAAAAAAAAATTATGAAATTAAAAATCAGCGAATTAACTAACATTAATTAATTGCATAAAATCAAATAAGATGATTTGATTAATTTTGAAAAATTTAACTAAATTAATTACAAGAAAATTGAAAAGTAAAATAACATAAAAATTTTAAATTAATGAATAAATCTAATTAAATCAATTAAAATAATATAAGTTCATAATTTCAAATCAACAAATTAACTAAAATTTATTAATTAAATCAACTAATATTAATTAAGTAAAAATAAATTAAGTAATGAAAATTAATAAATTTTGAAAAATTTGACTAAACTAATTACAAAAAAAAAAATGAAAAGTAAAATATTAAAAAAAAATATATGAAATTAAAAATCAACGAATTAACTAACATTAATTAATTGAGTAAAATCATATATCTAAATGAATAAGTTTTGAAAAATTTAACAAGAAAATTGAAAAGTAAAATATTCTAAAAATTTTAAATTAATGAATAAATCTAATTAAACAAATTAACTAAAACTAATTAATAAAATTAACTAATATTAATTAATTTAATTAAATCAAATAATGCATATTAATTAATTTTGAAAAATTTAATTAAATTAATTACAAGAAAATTGAAAAGTAAAATATCCTAAAAATTTTAAACTAATGAATAAATCTAATTTAATCAATTAAAAAAAATAACTTCATAATTTCAAAATCAACAAATTAACTTAACTTAATTAATAAAATTAACTAACATTAATTAATTAAATTACATCAAATAATGATAATTAATTAAATTTGAAAAATTTAACTAAACTATTTACAAAAAAAATTGAAAAGCAAAATATTAAAAAAAAATTCTGAAATTAAAAATCAACGAATTAACTAACATTAATTAATTAAATAAAATCATATAAGATAAATTGATTTATTTTGAAAAATTTAACTAAATTAATTGCAAGAAAAATATAAAGAAAAATATATTTGAGATATGCTTA